TGATGATGATGAGGATGACGACAATGACGATGATGATGATGACGATGATGAAAACGCTAATATTGTTGATGACTTTGTTTCGAAAATATATATAACAAAGATGATGATGATGAAGATGTGATGATGAAGATGAAGATGGTGATCACCTTTTTTATATGTTATGCTGTTGTTGGTACTCTGCTACTTTTGGTGATGGTGATGGTGAGGTGTTGATAAAAATTATGACAATTTTCCCTAAATAATTACCATGCCATGGAAATAATCTATAGGAGATTTTTGAACTATTAATAATTATGATAATGTTGATGACTTGATTAAATTTCATTGAAAAATCATAAAATCCACAGCAGATAAATGCTGAAGCCTTGTTTAAAAAAAAACAAGCAACAACAACAACAACAACAGCAGCAGCAACAACAACAACAACAAAATTAACAAAAACAACTTTAAAAACAATAAATAACATCAACAACAACAAACAACGACAACCAACAACATCAACCAACAACATCAACGACATCAACGACAACAACATCAACCAACAAGATCAACAACAACATCAACCCATTAACCAGCCAACCAGCCAACGCCAATGAAATCATGGCCACCCACGATCTGCTGTCCAGAAGTTTGACCTTCACCCCGGCCTACCATCACGTGATCTACCCCAACCCCGTTTCCATACCACAAAACAACATCAACAACAACAACAACAACAGTAATAATAATAATAATGACCTAACTATCAACAATAATAATAATAATGGTGACAGCAACTATCTGAATAAAAACAACAAAAATAACAACAACAACAATAATAATAATAACAATCATAACAATAATAATAATAATAACAAAAGCAATGAGAATCCCATAGATAAGCACAATGAAAGCAATCGTAGCAACAAAGTTGAAGACGGCGACGATGATGACGTTGAAAATACATTCCCTTACTCAGGTGAGATCAACACTATCATGACCACTACCATCATCATCATGACCACAGCCATCATCATCATGACCACCACCATCATCATGACCACCACCATCATCATGACCACCACCATCATCATGACCACCGCCATCATCATCATCACCATCGTCGTCATTATCATCAACATCATCATCACCATCCTCCTACTTATCGTCATCATTGTTATCATCATCATCATCATCATCACCACCATCATCATCATCATCACAGTTTCCAGCGGAGCCATTAAAATTATGATCCAACGACGTATCATGTTATATTTGTTTTTTAAAAATTCCATTCACATTTATATGTGCTGTGTGTGCTTTGTATTTGTGTGTGAATGTGTGTATATATGTATGTGCATGTGTTTGTTTGTATGTGTGTGTGTGTTTCTGTCTGTACAATTATGTTTTGTATATATATATATGTAATGTATGCATAAATGTGTATATACACAAACATATTCTTCTTTTGGCCCAGCATACAAACATGTTAATGAATAAATAATATTGTATTTGTACGTGTATATGTATGTATGTGTGCGTGCGTATGTGTGTGTATATAAATAGGTATGTGTGTGTACGTGTGTATCTGATTATTATTTTGTGCGCGTGTATGTGAATTTGTAATTTGTGATGTGTTTTTTTTGAATGTGTTAATGTAAGAGTGCGTTAATGTGTATGTGTGCATGTGTGCATGTGTGACATGTTTGTACGTATATGTGTGTGTGTGTGTGTGTATGTGTGTGTGTATGTATGTGTGGGTTTGTTTGTATGTATGTATGTATATATATATATATATATATATATATATATATATATATATATGTATGAATGCGTGTATGTATGTATGTGTGTACGTGCGTATGTGTGTAC